TCATTCTGCCATCCAGAGGGACCTGGACAGGCTGGAGAAATGGGCTGACAAGAACCTCATGAAGTTCAACAAGGAGAAATGCAAAGTCCTGCATCTGGGGAAGAACCCCATGCACCAGTATATGCTGGGGGCTGACCAGCTGGAAAACAGCTTGGCAGAAAAGGACCTGTGGGTCCTGTTGCTCAGCAAGTTGACCATGAGCCAGCAATGTGTCATTGTGGCAAAGAAGGCTAATGGCATCCTGGGCTACGTCAGGCAAAGCATTGCCAGCAGGTCGAGGGAGATGATCCTTCTCCTCTATTCAGCACTGGTGAGGCCACACCCAGAGTACTGTGTCCAGTTCTGGTCTCTCCAGTACAAGAGAGAGCTACTGGAGACAGTCCAGTGAAGAGCCACAAAGATGATTAAGGGACAGGAGCATCTCTCCTATGAGGAAAGGCTTAGAGAGCTGGGACTGTTTAGCGTAGAGAAGAGAAGGCTCAGGGGGGATCTCATCCATGTGTACAAATACCTGAAGAGAAGGTGTAAAGATGATGGAGCCAGGCTCTTTGCAGTGGTGCCCATTGGCAGGGTAAGAGGCAATGGGCACAAAATAAAAAACAGGAGATTCCATCAGAACATCAGGAAACGCTTTTTTACTGTGAGGGTGACTGAGCACTGGAACAGATTGCCTAGAGAGGTTGTGGAGTCTCCATCCTTGGAGATATTCAAAAGCTGTCTGGACATGATCCTGGGCAACCTGTTCTAAGTGGCCCTGCTTGAGCAGAGGTGTTGGACCAGATGACCTTCCTCAGTCCCTTGCAACTTCACTCATTCTGCAAAATCTTTAAAAATATTAAAGTGGTTGAAGAAAAGAAGATTTGTTTTGCAGTTTTTTCTTTATTACATGTTCAAAAGATGTTATAAATATGACATCCAGGTATAATCTTCAGATCAACAAAAAGGGTAGAAAGAGACAAAAGTGTAACAGCACTTATTTCATGTGGTGAGTTGACCCTGGACAGCAACTAAGCACCCACCAGCTGCTTGCTCACTTCAGATGCTAGAAACCCTGCTTTCTGGATGGATTTTCCCAAGGCATACTGTACAGATTCTGTCTGTAGGCAGGTTCCCAGCATCTGAATGGACGTAAGATTTACTTGCTATCTATATTCCTCTTTTTATTCTATCTTATTAAAACAGCTATTTTATTAATCCATTTGTTGTCAGGCCTTTCTTATTGCGATCCAGAAAGAACCCTACACCGCCTCTCTCAGCCCTGCACCTCTGCAGTGCAGAACAGTTCTCAAACCAGGCAGCCAAGTCCTGCCACAATGCAGCAGCCCAGATGGGTTTACCTCTGCACTGCCAGTTGGTCTGCATCCATTGCAGTAGCCACCCCCACAGGGCATTAGCCACCATCCATGAGTCAGTATAGAGTACTGGCCACTTTTCTCATTCAGCAATGTCTAGGGCCAGCTGGATGGCTTTCACCTCTGCAAACTGACTTGACTCACCGTCTCCTTTTCTGATTTGCCACGTGGAATTCCATAGAGCAGCTTTCCACTTCCGATGGTTTCCCACAATGTGACAGGATCCATCGGTTAACACAGCATATTGCTTCTCATTTTCTGGTAATTCATTATATAGTGGGGCCTTTTCAGCATGAGTCACCTCCATGGGCGATGCTCCAAAATCTCTGCCTTCTGGCCAGTCCATGATCACTTGCATGATTACTGAGCTGTTGTGGTTCTCCATTTGAGCCTGTCGCATGATCAATGCTACCCACTTACTCCATGTAGCATCAGTTGTGTAATGTGTAGAGGGGCCATTTACTTTGAACATCCAGTGCAACATAGGCAATTGAGGTCCCAAGAGGAGCTGTGCTTCTGGACAAACTATTTCTGAAATGGCTCAAAACCCTCTTATGCTGCTAGTATCTCCTTTTCAGTTGAGGTGTAGCTGACCTCAGATCCTCTATAACCCCAGCTCCAAAACCCCAGAGGCTGACCTCGGGTCTCTTCGGGTGTTTTCTGACACAGGCACCAGTTGAGATCATACTCCCTGGCTGTGGTGTAGAGCATGTTTCTCACATCTGGTCCTGTCTGGACAGACCGAAGGGCTACTGCATTCTCCAGAAACCCAGAATGTCTAGGAAAGCTTGTGTTTCTCTTGTTAGGTGGTAGGGACGTGGCTGTTATCTTTTTAATCATATCCATAGGGATGTGATGATGCCTATCTTGCCATTTTATTCCCAAGAACTGGATCTCTTGTGCAGGTCCTTTGACCTTGCTTTGTTTTATGGCAAAAGCAGCTTTCTGAAGCATCTGGATTATTCTTCTCCCCTTCTCAAACACTTCCTCCTCTGTGTTGCTGCACATGATGATGTTGTTAATGTACTGCAGATGTTCAAGGGAATCACCCTGTTCAAGTGCAGTCTGTATCAGTCCATGACAAACTAGGCAGAAAACATCTACCCTGGAGGAGAAGAAAGGGAGAGGTGCCAGTCTTCATTTCCCCCACAAAGTGGCTCCAGGAGGAGAAGAGGAGAAAGGTGCAACTGTTAATTGTCTCCAAGAAATGGTTCCCAGAGTACTGGAATGGCAGCAACACAGGGCCCAAATACCAGACAGGCTCAAGACCAGTGCTTTTATCATAGCTCTCCCAGGCAAAGCAAAAACAAACTGATAAACAGCCCAGCAAAAGCTGAAAGTTGCCATTAACAAGCCCCAGAGTTTGATGTACAGCAAGAAAGGGAGCATGCCACAGAGCAGGTAAGGAAACAAATAAATCAACATTGAGAACAAACAAGTCAACATCACAACTAGCAACAGCAAGTAACAACTTGCCAAGTAACAGCTAAACAGGTATAACAGCTATAAATTCAGTCTAGTACACTTTGATCAAATCTGTCATTATCTTGAACCTCTTGGGCCCCACAACTGTCCAGGCACCACAAAAACATGGAGAAAAAGACATGTCCCATGTGCTTTTGTATAGGATATAGAATCTCACCTCATAATACAGGACATTGTCTATACAAAATATCAGATTACACACACTAATCTGTAAGGCCACAGAGACAAAAAAACATACCTTTTTAAATTACAGAACTAAAGAAATGCTACATTTTAAGAAAATCAAATTAGGATGGTTAAAAGTGAAGATCTTTATATTTACATCACAGATTACTGCATTGTGTGAACTGCAATGCAAGTTTACCTTAAAATCTACAATTTCCATTGGAGTTCATTTTTACTTAACAAAAAAGTATTTGAAATTTTAGCATTTAAATCCCAAACCGCATATAAGAAATACATTTACATTAAATAGCATGTGAAAAATGATCATATAGCTTTCCTTCTAACTTCAGAATAGATCCCAAATGTTTTTATTCCTAAATCGATAGTAATTATTTTTAATTTTAAAACAATAACTAGTAAAACATCACCCTCATCTCCTGTATCTTGCATCTCAAGACAAATGGCAAGAAAGGGACTTCCTTTATTTCAGAGAAACCACAACAATGAAATACCAGATGAAAGAAACTGAACGTCTTAATTCAGAGTGCTCTGCTGAAACTTAGTGCTTCTTCTCAATGTTATGTTCTTGTTTGGGATTTTTTTTTTAAGCTTCATATTTGCTGCATGTTTTGATATGGGAAGATAACAGTTTGAACAACTCCTGCTTGAAGCCTTTTCTAGGCTTAATATCCAAATTCTTAAAACATTTTACCTATCAGCTTGCTGCTTTCTCTTGGAACTTTTTAATTAAATTGCTAAATTTTATTTGTATTGAACACATATTTATAATAGAGTATTTCATACTTACTTATTTTTAGTTCAAAAAAAGAAGTTCTTAGACAGAGACCCTAACCTACAAATGCTTAATTCATAATGGAAGTTACATTAAATATTTAAAAGAACAGCATGGGTTCCCAGTAGATGGGCTTACAATGACTGAAAGTCTCTAGAAGGACATTATATCAGCCTCATTACCTGGAATTAATTTTTTCATCATTTCCATTACAATCTGGTGCTTTCAAGGGTATAGGAAATAAGCAATAAATATTTACTTGTATTCCAATTTGATGTAAAACTTTAACATTAGTTTCTATTTTTTAATTAATATAGCTAATTTTCTCAATATACATTGCAAAAAAAATATATTCATAGAATCATAGAATGGTTTGGGTTGGAAGAGACCTTTAAAGATCATAGAATCATATTATTAAGATCATCTACTTCCAACCCCCCTGCCATGGGCAGAGACACCTTCCACTAAACCAGGTTGCTCAAAGCCCAATCCACCTGGCCTTGAATACTTCCAGGGAGGGGGCATCCACAACTTCCCTGGGCAACCTGTTCCAGTGCCTTACCACCCCCATAGTGAAGACCTGCTTCCTTATATCTAATCTAATCTAATCTAATCTAATCTAATCTAATCTAATCTAATATAATATAATCTTTCAGTGTAAACCCATTATCCTTTGTCCTATCACTACATGCCCTTGCAGAAAGTCCCTCTCCAGCTTTCTTGTAGGCCCCCATCAGGTACTGGAAGATTGCTATAAGGTCTCCCTGGAGCCTTCTCTTCTCCAGGCTGAACAACCCAAACTCTCTCAGCCTGTCCTCATAGGAGAGGTGCTCCAGCCCTCTGATCATCTTCATGGTCCTCCTCTGGACTTGCTCCAACAGGTTCATGTCCTTCTTATGTTGGGGGCTCCAGAGCTGAATGCAGTACTCCAGGTGGGGTCTCATGAGAGTGGAGTAGAGGGGAGAATCATCTTACTTGACCTGCTGGTCACGCTTCTTCTGATGCAGCTCAGGATATGGTTGGCTTCCTGGGCTGCAAGAACACATTACTGGGTCATGTTGAGCTTCTCATCAAGCAGCACCTCTGAGTCTGTCTCTGCAGGGCTGCTCTCAATCTATTCTCTGCCCAGCCTGTATTTGTGCTTAAGATTGCCCCAACCCAAGTGCAGGACCTTGCACTTGGCCTTGTTGAACTTCATGAGGTTCGCACACACCCACCTCTCCAGCCTGTCAAGGTCCCTCTAGATGGCATCCCTTCCCTCCAGTGTGTCGAGTGCACCACACAGCTTGGTGTCGTTGGCAAAGTCGCTGAGGGTGCACTCAATCCCACTGTCCATGTTCCCGACAAAGATGTTAAACACTGCTGGTCCCAATACTGACTGCTGAGGAACACCATTTCTCACTAATCTCCACTTGGGCATCAAGCCATTGAATGCAACTCTTTGACCGTGACCATGCAGCCGATCCCTTATGCACCGAGTGGTCCATCTGTCAAATCCATGTCTCTCCAATTTAGAGACAACGTTGTCATGTGGAACAGTGTCAAAAGCTTTGCACAAGTCCGGGTAGATGATGTCAGTTGCTCTTCCCTTATCCACTAACACTGTAACCCTGTCGTAGAAGGCCACCAAATTTGTCAGGCACAATTTACCCTTAGTGAAACCATGTCACCAATCACCTCCTTATTTTCCATGTGCCTTAGCATAGTTCCCAGGAGGATCTGCTCCATGATCTTGCCGGGCACAGAGGTGAGACTGACTGGCCTGTAGTTCCCCAGCTCTTCCTTTTTCCCCTTTTTAAAAATGGGGGTTATGTTTCCCCTTTTCCAGTCAGTGGGGACTTCACCAGACTGCCATGACTTCTCAAATATGATGGATAGTGGCTTAGCAACTTCATCTGCCAGTTCCCTCAGGACCCACGGATGCATTTCATCAGGTCCCATGGACTTGTGCACCTTCAGGTTCCTTAGATGGTCTTGAACCTGATCTTCTCCTACAGTGGGTGGTTCTTCATTCTCCCAGTCCCTGCCTTTGCCTTCTGTGACTTGGGTAGTAGCCTGGTGTCAAGGATATCCCACAGCAATAAATAATTGACAAATTAGGTCACCTGAGATTACCTGTCCTCAATTTTACATTCTATATTTCTGCAAGAAAATGCATGGGGATATGCATTTTGGAGGCCAACTCTCAGCAGTCAGTCATGCTAAATCAGCAGAAAACTTGACCCTTTGATCTTTATAAATATTCTAGCTGGTTAGCTTGGCCTTCCCACGGCGATGAGTGTCTTAAGTAGCAATTCTCTTATTTGGCAAGATAGGAATCCAGAAAGATGAAGCAAAACTCCACAGAATAAAGTTATAGTAGGGACAAGATCTCAACCGCAGTGCCATCCTACCTGGCCATTCTTTCTTTTCTTACTGCCAGGCTTATTTAATGAAAAAAGCCACAAACAGAGTTCAGGCTTTGAGGGGGCACCGAGAGACAGGGGCTGGGACAGGCAGTGGCTCGCCTTGTGGCAGACCGCCAGCTTGATTCAGGCTTATTCCTCAAAAATGAAATCTGACAAGTGATCA